GTAGAATGTGTGAGAGCGGGGGTCCACGGGCACGGGCCCCGGGGCCTCTGGGGGCAATGTGGCCGTCGTCATGGGGGAGGCGGGCGAGGCGACCGCGGATGCCGAGGCCGCATCGCGCGTGGCATTGCCTCGTGCGTCGCGTGGGACGCCTGAGTGGTCCGAGCCCGTCCTTCCGGCCTCTCCTTCTCGAACCTTCGGAGCCGGGGCCCTCCCCGATGGGGAGGAGGGCAGCGGGCGACACGAGTCGAGCGCCTCGGGGGGGGACCAGGCCTTGAGCTCCGTCGATCCATAGGCCGCCTGAATGAGCCCTATGGGAATCTGGGTTAAACGCGGGTGCCTGGTCAGGTGGAGGCCGTAAAAAAAACAGGTGGCGGAGAAGTATTCCCAGGCTGGGCCGCCGAGTGTGTCTGGGGTCACCACGCTCCAAGGGAGCAAAGGGGGGGACGATAAGTCCTCCAAGGGGATTCCTGAGGTGTTGCGAGCGATCGCCATGATGCGCAGGCGCGCCCCTCCCTTTGCTTCCCTCCCCGAGGCGGTAATCTCCGCCGTCGCGTTCAGCGTCTGCGACATGGTCATCAACATGTTGCTTTGACCCGAACACAACCACACGTCCCCAAATAGGACATCCTCCACCACAATGCGGCCCCCGCTGCCCGTGATGGTGATGGTATGGGGCCCTCCCGGACCTTGAGGAGGCAGGCAGGCGGCCCATTCCCCGTTGAGGTCGACCACGGTGCCGACGACGGGCGTGAGTGCCTGGTCCATCCTCAAAGCAATGTAGGCAGTGGGTGAGCCGCTTCCGTAGAGACAGGCAGGGAGAGGAGCTTGCTGCAAGACCATGTGCGAGCCGAGGGTATGGGCAAGTCGGAGGGTGTTGGGTTCCGAGGCTCTAGGATCGGGAGATGCAGCGGGCTTCGCATCCGAGGCAATGGATGATGGAGGGACAGGGGCAAGGTCAGCTGCCTTGACCACCACCACACCGAGCAGCAGGAAGCGGTAGAATATATAGCTGGAGATCCATCGGGGAGCCCGGGCTTGTCCCGGCCGGGTCATGGTGACTCCTAGTATATGAAGCGGCAGGGTATTGTTGCATGTGAGGATGAACCATCCGAAAATGATCGACTTCCGCGAACAACAGGCGGCTGGATGCTCACAAAGCAGACATTAGCCGCTTTTTGAGAAAGGGATCGCAAGTCCTGTGTTGTCGGCAAGTGCCATGCCAGGCCGGTACCTAGAGCCTTTAAAAACCGGTCTGTTTTTAAAAAAAAAGAGATTGCTTTTTCTTCAACCCCCTAGCCGGAAATTTCCTCGTGCGGGCCAGAACGAGGAGGCGTGACTTTAAGACATGCCCGCCCCAGCGTACTGGCAACTGAATCATTCATGATGGTGCCTGTTATTTAAATCCCATCACTTCATTGTTTGGACGGAGCAGTCAAAATGTTGACTCAGAAGTTTTGATGGTTGTACCATGAAAAGTGGTTAGGCTGAGTGAACCTCCCCCGGATGGGCTCGATTAGTCTGCAGAGTACTTTCAGCTGTCAATGAACTCATGATGCCTTAGGATTCAAGTGTTGCTCGATAGTTGTACTTGAAATATGCTCAAACCATTTCAACACCTGCAAACGGCAACAATGGGTCCTCGGTGAGGCTCACACTAACGCAGACATATTAGTCTTACCGTCGAAACGGAGGCAATACCACTGAAGTCATGCTCGAATCAAAAATGAAAGAATGGAAGCCATGAGACGATCTATTCTTGCTAGCCATTGAGTAGGTTGGCGTATGGCTGAACCCCATCTTTAACAAGATTCGTAAGCTCTCGCTCAAAGAAAGCTAGGAAACGGCAAGTCAATGGCCTTAAAGCTTCCTCAGTTATTTTATTTGACCCGCCTGTCTCTGCTTGCACACAGGCCGACATTCCAAAATTACAAATTCTTTCGTTGTTCGAGTTCCGTGTTTCCTTCCACCACTTATCATCTTCTGGCAGGCAGCCTCCAAGTGCTTGACCCGCCCTCAAGACCCTACTGTTTAAACCGGCGCCCTCGACCGCGTGCCCAGCCGTCCCACGACGTAACGTATGCCCGGTAACCGCAAGATGTCTTTCAAAACGGGAGTGTGCTGCATCACGGAGATAGCGGGGGGGAAGAAATTCCCAAACAGGTTAACAAACCCAAAGAGTTGGAGGATCAAGCCGATCAAGGTCCACCTGGCGGCAAGAGAGAGAAGAGGAGGATATGAAAGTGGAAGAGGTGAGGGACAAGAGAATGATCAAGGTGGTGCAGAAGTCCGAGGAAGAGGAGGCGTTGCTGTCTCCAGACGATCAACGGCAACGTCGGACCGCCCACATTGATCATATGGAGCCATAGTCCTTTTCCCCCCACCCCCGTCCATCTTTTCCTCCTGGATCACCCACTCAACGCGACGGCACGCTCCTCGCATGAGACCGCAAGCCCGAAACATCATCCTTTCCGCCCAGTTTCCTCCTTCCATTTCCTCAGGCACCGCCCACGTCCCCACACCCATACAAAGCTTTAAACACGACGAGCCCCGTAAATTTCTGACCATTTCTTTTGTTCCTTGCCTCCCACACAGAAACCGGCCTCACCTGAAGAAAACCAAGGCAATTCCTAGGAAGAAGCAAACAATGCCCGGGGCCCGATCCCTCTTGGTGAAAAGGCGTACAGTGCGCTGCATCCCAATGATAAAAACCAGTCCCGTCAGAAAAAGAAAGTCGCCTGTAGAGGATGGGAGAGAGTGCGATAGACGTGAACGGGGGAGTCGAGAATAGTTCAGTGCGTATCGGTGAGAGTATGTCCGTTGTAGGGCTATGGAAGCAGTACGGCTCAAGCCTAACCCTAACCGTCCTTTTCTCCTTGTCTGTCACAATCCATTATGTAACCCAAAACTACACGACAGAAAACGAAAGTTGGACAGCTCTCGAATCATCCACACTCCTCCTCATTGGTGTCTTGTCACCCTTCCCTCCCTTTTCCTACCAATCGCGATTAGTGTCGAGTCCAACAAGAAAATGACGCCCATGGAGATGAAAAGGAAACTTAGGCCAAGCAGGCCCATTCCAATCTTCTTGTTGTCGTCTAACATTGTAATTCAATCTTGTATGCAGGTCAATGGTCGCTTCTTCTTCCTTCCTTCTCGGTGCTCGTGCCTGTTTCCCGGCACGTTAAGGCCCTACGCGGGGGGTGCGGGATGCCAGCGACAACAAAGCAGAATTTGGCGGCCCACTCCCTTGACCCCTCCTTCTTCTTCCACTTCTCCTGGTACGTGCGGGTGGAGGTCGATGCGTAGAATGTGTGAGAGCCAGTCGTATCGGATGAAAGAGGGCAGCGGGGGAGGGAAAACGCTTCTGTTCCTCATCGCTCGCGTTAAAAAGCGAGGGGCTACGATCCTGACCAAGTATGCTCCAAGATAGCCTTCCAACGCGTGGGAAAAAACCAAGCAACGATAGAAAAAATAGGAAGGCATGTCTCTGAATTTATTTTGAGGACGTTAGGTTGTGGTGCAGTTTGGATCTCGTTGAAACGTGTGGTATTGACTCCCACGGTCACTATCATGCCAGTGGCAGAACCCCGTCCATGACAAACTCCGGCACCGCTAAATTCTTCATGCCTGCTACAACCCACAACAACAAACCAACAATCATACTCCCATGATTTGAGGGAGTCTTTATTTTTATTTTTCTTTACCAATTGGCTTTTTACAATCGTGGGCCCCGTGTCTCTTCGCATTTTTTTTACTGCCATGAAGGTGACGATAGATCCACTCCACGCACTATGCAGCAACCAGCTTAACCCGATTCCAGCACTTCTCAACCAGCAGAGCACGACGAAGCATCTCTCACAGCATCATTTCTTTCGCCAGCTCTGCCTCCGTTGCCCGCAAGCGTTTGCAAATGCTCTGCAGCACTGGCTGTGGGTCGTGTCCTTGACTACGCAAAATGGACGCGTTCACTCGATCCGCCGTCGCGGCCCGGCGGGAGAAATCAAGCAAACCATAGCGCTCCTTACATCCGTTCGCTACTCCACGACCGCCTCCTTGCCTGGTCGCTTTGGCTGCGGCGGCCGTAGGACCGAGGACCATCAGGGTCATTGCCTCCTCCACCACTTTCAAACTCTGGCTCCTCCCGTCCTTCTCCCCTTGCGTACCCGTGTCCTCTCCCAAGGTCAGCTCTTTCCTCGCAAAGGCCAAAATTTTGCTCTCCGTCGTCTCGCTTCCCGTCGTGTCGTCCTCCTTCTTTTCCTCCGGCGGAGTGAGGCGACACCTCAGCATCTCCGCCAATTTTTGCACATGAAGAGCAAAATGTAGATCTTGGTCTTTTTTCAACAGCATCGGGTCACTTTCCATTATGTGTGCTATGGCCGCATCCACATCTCCTTCCATCAATGCCTTTCGGATGCGCATGCGTACCTCGATCGATTGAAGATCCACGGGAGGTGCTGTCCCTGATTCCCGGGCCATGCTCTCTGCCAGTTCCTTGTGGCCCTTGACGATGAAATAATTCATCACCAGCTGATCCAGGTACCGCTTGCGGACGCGCCGTTTGAGAAGAGGTGCATGGACAGGGAAAAAAGTCCCACCAGCGTGCGAAGATAACTTCGTTGGCAACGGCCGCGTTCTTACGGCCTCAACGCGGGACCTTGAAGTGGATGGAGGGGTCATAATTTCGGATCACTGCCAGAGAGGCCTTTGAACGCTCTGTTCTTTGCTTGCCTACTTCCAGGGATGCTACCTCGACGGCTTGATGCGCGTGGGGGGATGGAATTGTGATGTCAAAGGGCTATGCTCGTCTCCTGATGAGAGGTTGTATCAGACGAACGCTGCTTGTGCTCTTCCGAATTCAGAGTAAGCTGTATTAGATATGTCACAATCCTGTGATATATGTCGAATGTTATTTAAGCGTCAGATTTCTGACAAATTTCCGGGGCGGCAAGGTGCTTCTTTTTCCTATCCTCATACCTTGTGAGGGGGCAAGACTTCAGTGTCAGGGAAAAACCAGCGGGACCCCCCAGCCATCTTGATACCGGTTATACACACCACTCTTTCTCCCTTGCACATGAAACAGCCGTACCATGTTGTCCACGCTTCAGAGGCGTTATATCTCGCATGCCCGCCTCCTCCAAATTCGCCCTTTCTCACGATTTTTTACGTCGTCTATCTCCTCTTCATTACCTCCCGCTCGTGAGGGGGGTACGTGGTTAGCACCCGTGGCAATGTCTTCATTTTTTTGCAAGCATTTCGTCTAATGATGTCCAATCGACAAATGCTTGGATACTATACTACAGAAGTTGTCATTTTTGACGTTTCCTGCTCATTTCTTTGCAATTTTCCCTCTTTTCTGTATTCCTCTTTGGAAAGTAAAATTTCCCAATTTGGGCCAGGGCAGTTCGTTCAGTGTGCGCCTCCACCGTGTCCCGGCGCAGATTTCCATCACAAGTGGATGGATTGACCATACAGAGCTCCGTATCGACACTCCACCGCATGCACCGGCTCTGGACGTGCAAGTGCTGCGTGGAAATGGAGCAAAGGGAACGGCTGACGAGGAGTCGACCCTCTCCACCTTGTCCGTCTCGGATGCCAAGATCCTTCTTCCCCCCGACGCCCTCAAGTACATGGAAGGTACGTGAACACGCAAACAGTCTTTCTGGCTTAAATATCAATCCTGGCTTCCGCGCTGCCTTGTCCTCCCGCCCTAATCCCCTTTCCTCCCTTCCTTCCTCCCTCCCCTACCGTTCTGCAGGCAAATACCACGTGCACATCACCGTCCCGGAGAAGCTTCATTCCCTCCAGGCTCATCTCTCACAGTCGCCAGGCACCATTTCTGTTAGCACCAAGGTGGAGGGGGAGGGCATCGACATCCTCAGCAAACAGGGGGACGTGCATATCAACAAAATTAGAGGTGAGGGAAGAAGACGCTTAAAGAGCGAGTACGAAAAAAAGAGGACGGCGAGAGAGACCGTGTCGGGGAATAAGGGAGGAAATAGGTCTGGATCGAAACAACTGGGGTACTCCTTTGCCCTACCAAGAAATAAACCAGCCTGCCTGGCTTATGTATGATCACGAGGTATGCCAACCGACTCTTTTCGTCCCTTCCCTGCCCCTTTGGACCTCAGGCGTAACGGTCGATGTAACGGCCGAGAGAGGGATGGTAACGGTCGGAAAGTGGCTGGAGGGAGACGTCACGGTCCGGG